AAAAAAAAAAAAAGAATTATGTTTCTCCTTCTGTAACTCTAAACTTAAACCCTTTATACAAAGCTCACATAGACACAGCCTTCTCACATTAAATGGTTCAATTAGTTTGTGGTATATACTCTTTTGGTAGCAAATTCACATGTTTCTGTTTTGGGGCATCACCTTATAGATATGTTTTAAAAGTATTTTCACCAGAAAGTTGATATATACAAGGTGGGAGTTGGAAAGTATTTGTGAGGACTCAGTTCCATACTTTTTCTTTGACCATAATTCTAACCAGGGCTATATTGTAAATTTGACTCCTTATTCTAAAAGGAAAAAAGAAAAAAGAAATGAGGTTACATCAAACAACATTAGCCAGTTACTGGAAGAACAACTCTTGGTCCTGTTGAGAATAATTTACTTTTAGAAGAATCCATGTAAGACTAAAGCATTATCTAGTTTTTATAGGCTGACCGTGGAGCCCATCATTTGTGCAAAAATGAAGAACTTAGGGCTGGGAAGGTGGCTCAGTGGTAGAGTGCTTGCCTTGCATGCCTGAGGCCCTGAGTTCAATTCCTCAGCACCACATAAGCAAAAAGAAAAAAGCTGGAACTGGCGCTGTGGCTCAAGTGGTAGAGCGCTAGCCTTGATCTGAAGAGCTGAGGGACAGCACCCAGGCCCAGAGTTCAGGTCCCACGACCGGACCCCCCCCCAAAAAATGAAGAACTTAGTCATTTGCAGTACTGTATCAGTTAGCTAAAATCATGTTCAAACCCTAATACAAGTTCATATTTGCTTTTGCCAAGATGAAGAAAAATTAAGAAAAGAAAAACAGTGTTAAAAGTTTGAGGGCAATAGGGGGTGGCACACAAATGGAGGGCAGAAGAGTAGGCAGAAAATAAATTGACAAAATGCTCCAATAAAAGGAATAGTGTCACATGCTGTTAGTCTTCCTTGATGTCAGAATATCCTGAGTTTGCTTCCATTATACATTAATTTTAAAAGAAACTTTTAAAAGAAAGCCATGTTGATATTTTAGCTGGATGTGTGTAAGATCAGTCAAAATTCTGTGTGACCCATCTGCATCCGCTGAGGTCACATCTGAATTTGATGTGGCCACACCTTTCTCTGCCCATACCCTAGATAAGGCCTAGCCCAGGCCCAGATGCCCTCTCTCTGCTCTCTCTCTCTCTCTGCTCTCTCTGCACTTTTTCTAGTTCTTTCTCAGCTCTTTGCTTCTCTTCTCTTTCCTAGCTCTTTCTCTTTCCCAGCTCTCCCAGCTCTCTTTCCCAGGCCTTTCCCCACCGCATGGAGGACCAAGATGGCCTGGTGTCAGCCGGAATGATGAATAAACCTACCCCTTACCTGAAAAAAAAATTCTGTGTGACCATTAATAATATAGTAATACCCAATCAGAGATTAATTGTATATAGATATACAATGAACTGTACAGAGTACTCTAAGTTTATTATGAATCCACAAATATAAGGACAAGCAACATTGGTTTACCTCATTGAAACTTTCTGTGGGAATGAAATCTCATTTTCTCCCTAAGAGTACCCATTGTTCCAGATGTTACTGGATCATTTGACACTATGTTTATGTATAGGAAAGCATCATTCTTTGTAATTACAACAAATTCTCATATAGTCTCTCATTTAATCTTCACATAGTTATTCATTTTTACAAATAAGGAAACAGAGACTTAGAAGCAGTAAGAGATGCAATCTTAGTCACATATGTTGTATCACTCAAAATCAGAATCAGTTCTTCTAAATGGCCCATTTGGTTTCTTCCTAAAGTTTCGTTAAGTCTGAACTTAAGTCCTACTTTAAAGCAACAGAAATATGAAATGTTTCATTTTTTTCTAATGATTCTCAGGTATATTAACTTTGAAATCTTCCCTTAACAAACCAATAGGTTAATGAGCCCAGTCCAGTGTAGTCTTATTTTAAAAAAGCACACTTGATTTCAAATATAAAAATTTAAAGCATTATATTCCTCATTGCCTTTAGAACTCAGCAATTGTATAAAAGTCAGTGAAAAGTGACTTTAATGAATTCACTCTTAAATCAGAACTAATGCTAATATTTGATCAAGTAGAAATGGATATCAAAACCAAAAAAAAAATTGAAAGGAGAAGCTTTTTGAGTTTTGAGGCAATACAAACATATTCACTGGTATGGTCATGATCTCATTCCCAGGCAGCATGCAAGGAAATAGTCTATCATTTCTCTACACTCATAACTATGTACCTAGATCACAGTAAAATCTGAAAATACACTTTGACATAAGGAGAACATATTTTCTTAACATGGATGTATGGAATGTGAACACTTAAAATGAATGAAATTCTAGGTATGAAATTATTTAAATAAGTTAAAGAACAGCATCATGAATTATGTAAAGATTCCCAAGATTCTTCCGAAGTCATGAAGACACCATTATATTCCATCTGCAATCCACTACAGTAACTCTGTTACAGAGATCTAAATGGTCATATTCTGCATGCTTTCTTTTCTCATGCTTTCCTTTGTCTTCCAATCAGCTCTGATTGAGCATCTATGGGATACTAAGTAGACATAGTAACCATTCTGGTGGCTCCAAGGACAAACTGACCAGAATCCTCTTTCTTTTATATGCCACATTATAAAGCATTTATAGACAGGCACTAGTGGCTCATGCCTGTAACCCTAGCTATTCAGGAGGCTGATATCTGAGGATCACAGTTTCAAGCTAGCCTGGGAAGGAAAGTCTATGAGACTCCACTAAAATCCCAAAAGCCAGAAATGGAGCTCAGGCTCAAAGTGGTAGAGTATTAGCCTCGAGCAAAAGAAACTCAGAGACAGGGCCCAGGCCCTGAGTTCAAACCCCAGGACTGGCAACAAAAAAATTATAGATAGGTATTCTTTTATTGTTTCCATTATGGTATGCACTCTTTTCTTTCTCCATGTTATAAACAAACATATAAACAGGTAGATAGATGGATAGATAGATAGATAGATAGATAGATAGATAGATA